AATAGGGAACCTACAAGCAGGTTCCAGGTATGGCAGCTAGTGTAGAACCTTTAGGCGGACTACTTAAATTAGACAATAACTAAAGTTGTACGAGTGGCTAATTGTATACTCTTTCCATGATTGCCTCCTGTGGTTGTAATGCAACTATTAGCTAAATGTACTATCAATAAAATCCTGGGTTGCAAGTACTCACCTTAATATTTAAAAAAAATAAATTTGATCATACAGATACATAGTAAATTAATTATCATAAATGTTACACAAAAAATTTTAATATAATATTTTAATATAAATATACATATAGTTTTAATTTACATAATATATCGAACATCCTAACATTATGCCTACATTTTTTTTATTTTTATAGTTAGACTATGATATTTCAACTTTTATTAGTAATTAAGCTAAGGTTGTAAACACTCACTATATTATATTTCACTTGATTATATGCAATCTTTTTATCTGCTTTCTGCTGAAATCTTTTCTTCTTCATATTGGTTAACTCTGATGATTTTTTGTTTTTTTTATTACTAATTTAATATATTTAGCCTTATATATATATTGAACTCAATAGTATAATTAGATTTATTGAGTTTCAAATTATTAATCTGCAATTATTATATGCTTTTTTTTGTATATTCTTATTGTTAATTTGAGTTGTAGTTTGGATACATATATTTTTTAAAGATATTTATAGATATATATTATTATTGAATTATTATATTTTTAGTTTGGTATTGCAAGAATGTCTAAAATCTTAACTTATTGTATATAGGTATAGTAACTATCTATTGTTATTCTAAAAATCAGTAAATCTGTTATTAAACTAATTCAACTTTCATATAACCTACAGTGGCTAAGTCGAAATAGGCATGTTAGATTTGGCTGGTGGTTTATCTATAAGTAAGTACTTGTCTCTTCTCTTTGTGTTTTTCCTTTAACCTCTTCTCTTACTAATCTAATTTTCTCTTGTCTAGCTCAATCTGAAATTACACTATGTTGAATCAGGATTGGAACTCTTCTATTATGTTATCAGTATTGTCATATGACTTGTGGCAAGTTGTCAATAGTGAGTTAGTGATTTATAAATAAATGATCAATATGAACAATGGTGGGGTTAATGGTAGTTTATTAGTTTATTATAGCACTTATATTTATTATAAATAGGATATTTATTGGTACTAGAAAATTTATTTGCCAAAAGGATGACTTGACATTTTTCAAAGTGAAAATGCCCTTTATTTATAATAAATGTCTTATTTATATTTGTAGTTAATTTGTGCTATAAATGCCAAATATTCTTTATATTCCATATATTTACTAAATGTAACAAAAGGCCAATATATTATTTAATATATATATGGCTGAAGTAGCAGAAGTAACATAAGTACCATAAGTATTATAAGTACTATAAGTAATATTTCTGTTACTTTTCATATGACCTTGGATCAGATAAGAATCATCACTTCAATTTGGGCACACGTGATTCAAAAAATCAGACTTATACTATGATTTTGTATTATTTAATTGATAGTTCTATTTTTTTTTTTAATATTTATTAATAATTTTTTTAATTTTTGATAAACTAATTCTTTATTATAAGTTATTTTAGCAATATTATTTCATTTATTATTTCAGTTTTGATTATATTTTTATTATTTACTTAATTAAATATTTTATAAATTGAATATAAAAATAATAATGTTATCTTATCTTTTAATAACTTATTTGTATAATATTTTATATAATAGAATAATAATATTTTTTTTAAGATAAAGCCTTGTTATTATTTTTATTTATAAACATTAAGTAGTAACTATATAGAGTTACTTATACAAAAAAATTCTATATATGTTATAGCTAAGATTAATACTTGCAGTTAGGATTAATTATTAAACTATTACTATAAATTATAACTTTAGATATTAAAAATGTTACATATAGAAATGAGAGCTTAGACATATTTATCTGTAACTTAAACCTACTAAAGTGATTAAGGCTCATTTAAATTAGTTGAAATTTTCTAAATAATATTTATTACTTTAATTTATATTAGTAAGTTACTTATAAATTTCACTAACAATTTATTTTTTTTTGGTATTAAGATGACCTCTTGGGTTTTTGATTTTATTTAACAATAGTAAATATAGTTCAGTAAATCAGTACAGAAAGAGCATACAATTGGTTTTATATGTAACTTTTTTATATTACCTATTTAAGAAGTCTATCTAAAGATTTCTCATCAATTGTTATACCTAATACCCCTACTTGGATATTTTATATTAAACTCTCTGAACTTGCAAATCTGTTAATTCACTGAGTCATATATGATGCTCAGATTATTATCTTAACTTTAGAACTATTTTATTCTTGAGATAAACCCCTTAGAGTCTTTTGTATCCATTTTTATAACTAATATAGATATTGCTATGACAGAATCAACACTTGCAGTCAGGACTTAATTATTAAACTACTAAGTCCTTATAGAGTTTACTTAGACTTTAGCACCTATTTCATATTATAATCTTAGTACTTTAGTATATCTCTGTCTTTTTATCTGTCTTTTTACCAAACTTCTAATTCAGATAGTTTATATAGAATTATAACTAGTCTATTAGTATATCAGATCAGTCTGATATTTGTTTTTTTTAGTTCATTCTGGCAGCCTAGTTGGTGGTACTTCTGAGACTTCCAACTTAGAGATTCTTGCCCATCTGGCTATTATGACCAGATATTATGATCTTGATATCTGTTTTCTTAGACTAGTCTTTACAGTATAGATATTGAAGATTCAGTTACCTCTTTACTTAGGTCTTTCCAAATAGACTTTTTGTTACTCAATTTCAACAGATTTATATGAGCACAAGGACTTATTTAGTGTTTATATGTCTGATTTGTCAGTTTACATTTCTCTATATAACTTCAATATTGTACAGATGCCTAATAACCTGCTAGTTATGCTAGTATAACTGCTGTTACAGGTATTCTAATATAATTATTAGTAACAGTTGTCATAATACAAATATTATATAGGTGATTATTCAATTTTTACCATTGATAGGATTTGAACACCCAACATACTACTTAAGAAGTTTACATCCTGATTATTTTACTAGGTTGCCACACACCTCACTAACTATTTATACTATTAGAAGTTAATTATATTATTATAAAGAAATGAAAATAAAGATAAATAAATTAAATAAAAAATAAAATATAATTAAAAAAATAAAAAATAGTATTAATGTCATATGTGAGATCAGAATTATGATGAGTTTAGAATCAACTTAGATTGAAACAGAATTTCAAATGTGGCCTAAGTTGATACAAAATTTAAAAGCAACTTAAGTTGATTCTAAATTTGATACTTGTAATAAAAGTGTAATTAATAAATTTAAAAGCAACTTAAGTTAATTCAAAATTCGATACTTTAATAAATGTAATAAATGTATAATTGATTGACATAATGATAGCTAAAGTAAAAAATTATGTATTAAATGATTAAATATTTAAATACATCATTATTTATTTATTTATTTTTATTTCACTTATTCATTTTTTACAATTCTTTCTATCCAATGATCGAGCCTCAAGAGTATTCATTTTTATACCGTAATGCATTTGATAATCTGCTTTTCAATTATCTTGATAGCAAGTTGGTTAATAGGCAATACAAAACCTTTATTACATTTGAGAACTTTGATTTCTGTATTAAGGTTTTACAAAACCCAGCAAGTACAATAATCAGGAATGCAAAAGACTGTCATTGGGCAAAAAAAACATTTGTCATATATAATCTTGACACACTAGCAAACCCCATAATTCAACTTATTAAAGTTAATTCAAAATTACCTGTGTATTCAGTTGATAAGATATATAAAGTATTGTGCAGCTTGCATCAAGAAGTACTAAAGCATGTTGGTTTATCGAAGCTTTGAGATGCGATATGTAATCTGTTATAATATTAGTAGTTAATGATATATAGTTAATACTGTATAATATGTTGATTATTTAAAATTTTTATATAGGTTTCAGAACAGTACTGTTATATTTCACAGTCTTTTGTAAAAGAATTTGTGAGGAACTGCATGACATATGCTACATAAAAAACTTTTCAAATCCAGTAGCTGCAAAGCTGATAATCTCAAATGCCTTTCTTAATAGGGTTCAAGTAGATTTAATTTCTATAACCAACATTCCTGATGGTAATTATCATTACATAAGCCATATCTGGGATTATTTCACATGATAATCGTAGGCTCAGACTATAACTAGTAAACAGCCAATTAAAGTTGCTTTATTTCTTTTTGATGTTTTTGTCTGCTTCAGCATCCTGATTATTCTTCAAACCAATAATGTTCATGAGTTTACTGTAAAGGTGATCCATAAATTATTAACAATATAGCCTGATGTTCATATTATTAATAGTCATTCGAGGCATCCACAAAGCCAAGGGCTTGTGGAATGTGCAAATGACATTCTTCAACAAAAGGTGTCCAAGTGGATGGAGGATACACAAAGAAAAGATTGGGCACATGCTGTGCCATTGTGCTGTTGTATGTATTTTTTACAGGGGGGTCACCAAATTTCCAGATCAGATACATCAGATTTAGGTTGGCATTTAGCAATACAAGTCAACCATTTCTGGGCCAAATTTATCAGCTGAGCAGTTTTACTTAATGAGTGGGTTATGACTTCATTAGTAAAATTTTTAGCAATTTTGGACAAAATTAGTTAATTCCAGTTCTGAAAATTATGATTTTGACATATTCTGACTGAAATTTTGGTGACTCCCTATATTAGTTGTTGTATGTATATATTTTAATTAAGTTAATAATTTAATATTTACAATTTTAGATGATATGAATATACAAACTTCACAGCAAACTAAAAGTAGCCCGTATTCATTGGTATTTGGTCAAAACCCTTTACATTACTTTTCATTATTAAAAGAAGTCAAAGAGTAATGTATTAATTATGAAGATGAATTATCTGGTAATTGGTTCGAACTTTTTGAACCTCAGGATAACTTTGATCTGCAAGAAATTGTAGAATCACTTTTAGAAGCTGCAGCTTTAAATGTAGAGGTAACAATTTTTCCTTATCAGTCCTATGATATATAAGCTAATTGGTTCAAATATCAGGCTGGGTAAAGGAACTAATTTTAGCATTAATATGCTAAAATTGGTTTTTTTTAACACTAGCACTAGCACCCAGCCTGATATTTGGACCATTTAACTTAGATATCACAGGACTGAAAATTTTTGTAGAACAATGGTTACTTTTTTTTTATAAAATAATTGTTTTTTTTTAGAAGCAACAATTACTTGAATATATTAATAATAAGGCAAATGAAATAGTTAATAGAGAGATGAATATGAATAAAGAGGTGAACAAAGTGGTAGATGTGGATAAAGAGGTGGATGAAGTGGTAGATGTGGATAAAGAGATGGGTGAAGTGGTAGATGTGAATAAAGAGATGAGTGAAGTGGTAGATGTGGATAAAGAAATAGACCAGGTAGTGGATATAGACGAAGTGGTATATGTAAATAAAGAGATGAATGAAGTAGTGAATATGGATAAAGAGGTAGACAAAGTAGTAGATGTAGATAAAGAGAAAGATGAAATGTTGATGTGGATAAAGGAATGGATGAAGTGGCAGATGTGGATAAAGGGATGGGCAAAGTGGTAGATGTGAATAAAGATATGAATGAAGTGATAAACAAAAGATTAAATAATAGAATATGTGAAGTGACAGATGAGAAGATGGATAAGTTAGCAAATGAAATAGCAGTAGAAATAAGAATTAATGAAAAAGAAAATACATCAACAAATGTAAACATTTAATTTATCGCTCAATTCAAGCAAGTAACTTTTAATAAAGTTTTTTATAAAATAGATTTTTGAACTGTTTAAAAATAAAACATTCAATAGAAGTTCATCTAAAGATGAAATTTGTTCAATTAAAAGATATAAATTTTCGACTTTGGCCACTAACACAGATGTAAATATTCAGATGCTTAAAATATTTAATTTTTTTATAACAAATTATGCTTATTTTATTTTTGAATCTTTTAAGTTAGTACATAAAATCTACCAAGATGTAGCAATAAAGTTTCTCAAAAGATATCAAAGCAAGATGAAGTCGCAACTTGAAAAACATAATAAAAAATTTCTGAATAAATATAACATTGGAGATTTCATCCAAATCAAGATTTCTGAAATTGACAGAACACATAGCAATTGAAAAACACTCCCTTGCAAGATACTGAGGTCTTGAAAGATGATACAGAATTGGATGCAAATCAGGCACTATTAGGATTACTTATAATGTTAATGAATTACTTCTTTTGGGTCCTGATATATTTCTGAAATTAGATAATATTTCTTCAACATTCATAAGCATTCAAGAAGCGTCCATCATGCAATCATTGTCACAATTGAGTAATATTAAATGTAATTACAAAAATGCCTATAATAAAAATTACTGTAAATATAAAAAGGTGAATATACCTTGCAGTAGTAGTTGCCATCCTAAGAATCATAAGTGTAAAAACACTATGTAGGTTTTAGAGCAATAAATTTAATTTTTACAGCATATTAATTTGATGACTAACTCTTTGGTTACTGAGTAAACTTTATTTTAAAACTACTTAAATTCTGAAATAACTTAATTCAAAAAATTAATTCAAAATTTTCTTTATTTTGGTTTAGGTTGAATTGGAATTCTATATTAATTTGAGCATGTTTTGGAATTTTATTACAACCTACATGTATTCAGAATCAACCTAAGTTGATCCTAAACCCATCATAATTCTGTTCCACATATGACATTAATAAGCAAATAGATAAAGAAAATTAATAAAGTTATAAAAGTGTAGCTAAGAGATGTAATATAAATTAAATAGGTAAATAGATAAGAAAAAATTAACAGAAATGTAAAAATATTGTTATAAAAAAAGGCTATTATTGAGTTTATTAATAATTTTAAATATATTAAAGATGTAAATAAAACTATTTTTTAATATTATAAAATAATATATTAGTTTACTTAATTGAAATATAACTTATTAAGATTTTTTTAAGCTAAATAATTGATAGTTTAGAAATTTGAGTAATATTATAGTAGATAATAATTCTAGTTAGAATTTGTGAATCACTTGTTTAAGAAAAGATTTTATTTAGTATTTCTTTAAGATTGAGTTTAATAATTTCATTGTTTATTACTACAGATTTAAAGTAAATATTAAAATAATAGTAAAAAAAATAGAATATACATTTTGGATTAGTAGATATATTGTTTAGTTGAATAAAATTTTATTCAGATTGGTTAGTTAGATTATAGAGATCTTTAAAAGGTAAGAGTATATAAATGTTACTAAAGTAAAAGTAGAAAGATTTAAAGATAGATATATTATGAGATTCAAAAATGTAACTAATTTTATATGTCATAGATTTTGAATGTCAGAAATGTCAACTATGTCAGATATATCTAATATATAATATATATTGCATAAGTATTATATATTAGATATATGCAATATATATGATAAATTAGATATGTCTAATATATTAGACAAATTTATAATATAAATAGATAAGATAATTTATTAAAATAAAGAGTATTACACCAGCTCTTACCTTTATTGGATAACTTGCCCATCTGATCAACTATTAAATAATCTTATAAATAAATCATTACAACATACTCTTAATATTACTACTCTTAATGCTATTTCAAAAATTATAACTAATCTACACCATTAAATCAAACAACTAAACTGCATGTCTAGTCACAGTATACTAGATGTATTTTCAATTTTCTTAACTCTATCAGGCTTAATACCAAATAAAATCATTACTATAGTTACAGACTTATCATCTACAAAAATATTTATAATACTTATTACTAAATTTTTACTTCATATTAATCAATATATTTATCACAAAATTTGGATTTCTTACTGTATTTCAAGATCTACAATTCATCTTTCTACTTTTAATTTATTTTTTAATTCTACTTTGTAATTAATGCAAACTTCTTCTCTTAATACTATTAGCTCTAAGATTAATTCTTGGTATATACAATAGATTAAATATCAAACTAAT